GACAGAACAACAGCGAAACGCTCACCTCAGCACAGCAGTTTTTGACGGTATTTACAGCGTTTTGTAGAGCGAGGACCCAGCATCGCCGGCATGCCCGGCAGCGCTTGGCGCCAAAATGCGCAAAAATGAGCCTCGCTTATACCCCTCCGACACCTACTTAAAACAGTGCTTTTTGGGTGGAGAGGCTTTTTTGGAAGGAAGTCTTGACGATGCAGCCCAAGCCCCGCTGAAGCATCACCCAGGCCCAACCCCAGACCCTGACGATGTCAGCCACATGGCCTAAACCCTGCATATACGCGATGTTTCGCGAGGGTTTCCCACAGTCAAGCAAAACCACAAGCCCGAGCTGGTGATGCAGAGGTGCCGGATTTAGGCCGCGCATCACGAGGCACCAGGGTGCAGCCCCTGTAGCTAAAGCTAGCAGGCTGGCTGCCTACCGGCGACATGCTACCTCAAGGAGGCGTAGCCGGATAATAAGGCCGTGCGCCCCATGCCGCCAACCATGAGCAGACCATGAGCATACTTTTTGCGCTGGGCCCGCCCTTATAAGGGGCGAAGGATTTGCGGATTGTTTAGGCGATTTTTGTAGCATCTCCCCGCGGCGTCCACAAACGAGCGTTTTTGGGGGTGCCTAATACTGGACAACACCCCCAGCATTGCCAGCATCATCCCGGATGATGCGGATGATGCTATGCGTGCTGGCGATGTAAAACAAGGGGCTAAAAATTGCAGACAACGAAGGGGAAATGCAGGGAAACGGGGGTGACTGGAGGTGAACGAAAGTCAGAGGACTGGCACGAAAATGAAGAGTGCACTGGAGAGAAGCCAAGATGCAGGAAAATGCAAGGGCAGAATGTGAAGGGAGCTGGAGAGTTGCACGAAAATGAAGAGGCACTGGAGAGAAACCAAGATGCAGGAAAATGCAAGGGCAGAATGCGAAGGGGAGCCGGAGGAAAGGGAAACAAAAAGAAATTGTTGGAAATTGTGGAAACGAAGAGCAACTCATGAGAAATGAAGGGATGTGCAGGAAACTGACGTGAAATGGGACGCGAGGTTGAAGTCAGGGGAACTGCAAAGACCTAAGAGAAAGGAATGACGGGGCGTTCAAGGAAATGAAGGAAGTGAAGGGACATGTCAGGAAACTATCGGACAGGCAAAGGAAGCGAAGTTCAAATCCCGGGAACTAACTGGAAGTAAAGGAGCAGGAAATGAAAGAACGGGAAGGGCAAGGCGCCCTGTGGCCGGCTCGTAGCGTGTAAATCCGGCCGCGGCCAACTGGCCGAACGGCTGTGCCGGATTACCACCTTGGTCCTTTGGAGCAAGCTCTAGAGCGAAGCCCTATGGGGCTGCCGCATGGCGCCGCCGACCCTTTGCATGCCGAGGATGCGTGAAAAGGAAAGTGGTGAGCATCACCTGCGTCGTCTGCTTCTGGCGGGTGCGTTTTTGGGCTTGTTTTTGGGTCTGCAGCCTTGGGCTTGCAAGTCTGCGGTCTTGCCCCGGTGATGCAGGTGTGCTGGTGATGCTGGGGATGTTGCTGGGAGCTGCCTTCCACGCGGCGTCCTGCTGCAGCCTTGAAACACCGGACAAACACGTGAAAATGCAGGGCTTTTACTGCAAAAAACCAAGGAAAACGTTTGGTTTTGACATGCGTTTTGCGTGACAACTGGCCCGTGGCGTGCGTGCGCGTGCGCGCAGGCGCGCGGGCCTGCGCGTGTGCATGCGTGCGCGCACGTGCGCGTGCTTGCGCGCACGCGTGCGTGCTTTCGTGCGTGTGTGCGTGCGTGCGTGCGTGGGTGGGTGTGGGTGGGTGGGTGGGTGAGTGGGTGGGTGGGTGGGAGGGTGTGCGCGTGTGTGGGGTGCTTGCGTGACGTGCGAGTGCGTGCGTGTGCGCGCGTGTGCGCGCGCGTGTGCGTGTGCGTGTGCGTGTGCAGTGTGCGTGCGCGTGCGCGTGTGCGTGCGCGTGCGTGTGCGCGTGCGCGTGCGCGTGCGCGTGCCCGTGCGCGTGCGCGTGCGCGTGCGCGTGCGCGTGCGCGTGCGCGTGCGCGTGCGCGTGCGCGGGTGCTGCGGGTGCGTGTGCGTGTGCGCGCGTGTGCGTGCGCGTGCGCGTGCGCGTGCGCGTGCGCGTGCGCGTGCGCGTGCGTGCGTGCGCGTGCGCTGCGTGCGCGTGCGCCTGCGCCTGCGTGCGCGTGTGCGTGCGCGTGCGCGTGCGCGTGTGCGTGTGCGTGTGCGTGTGCGTGTGCGTGTGCGTGTGCGTGTGCGTGTGCGTGTGCGTGTGCGTCTGCGTGTGGGTGTGCGTGTGCGTGTGCGTGTGCGTGTGCGTGTGCGTGTGCGTGTGCGTGCGCGTGTGCGTGTGCGTGTGGGTGTGGGTGTGTGTGTGTGTGTGTGTGTGTGTGCGTGTGTGTGTGTGTGTGGGATGGTGGGTGCGTGGGTGCGTGAGCGCGTGCGTGGGTGGGTGGGTGTGTGTTGCGCGTGAGTCTGGTGTGTGTGTGTGTGCCTGTGTGTGGGTGCGTGCGTGGGTGGGTGTGCGTGCGTAAGCGCGCGTGCGTGCCCGCGTGTGTGCTTGTGCGCGCGTGCCTGCGCGGGTGGGCGGGCGGTGAAGGGGACATGGCGAAATGACGGGAAATAGCTAGAAAATAGATGGGAAACGTGGAAGATGGATGGAAAACTGAGGGAAGATGTTTGGAAAATGGATGTGTGTGTGTGCAAGTAAGGAAATGTAGGTATGTTTATGTTGTTGTTGTTGTCGCTGCTGCCTGCTTTGCCGTCCTTGCAAGAGCTGTGAGCTTGAGCCTCGCGATGCTGCCGCGGCCGGTTGTGCGCCAGCAACGTAAATCCGGCTACGCCCTTTGGGGTAGCATGCCGCTGGGCAATTAGCCTGCTATCTTTAGCTATAGGGGCTGCACCCTGGTGCCGCCGACCCTCGTCACTTGGTCGTGATGCGTGGCCTAAATCCGGCACCTCTGCATCACCAGCTCGGGCTTGCGGTTTTGCTTGCCTGTGGGAAACCCTTGCAAAACATCGCGTATATGCAGGGTTTAGGCCATGTGGCTGACATCATGAGGGTCTGGGGTTGGGCCTGGGTGATGCTTCAGCGGGGCTTGGTCTGCATCATCAAGACTTCCTTCCAAAAAGCCTCTTTACCCAAAAAGCTGTGTTTTTAAGTAGGTATCGGAGGGGTATAAGCGAGGCTCATTTTTGCGCATTTTGGCGCCAAGCGCTGCCGGGCATGCCGGCGATGCTGGGTCCTCGCTCTACAAAACGCTGTAAATACCGTCAAAAACTGCTGTGCTGAGCGGTGGGCTGTTGCTCTGTCCGTTTTGCTTTTGCTGGCTCGCGTGCTGCGCGGTCCTTGCTTTTTTCCCGTTCGTTTTCGGGCCTTCTGGCGCGCGCGCGCGACCCCAGCCACAAAACGCTGCTATTTACGGTGTTTTGTTGCATTTGCGTTTCCGGGCTGGCTTGCGGGCTGCTCTTTTTGGGCTGCTCTTTCTGGGGCCTCTGGCGCGCGCGCGCGACCCCATGTCAGCCTACTGGGTTGGGGCCCGGATGGGGCCAAGAAAGCTGGCATCCCCAGCATGGGGTTGGGGTGAGCAACATGCCTAACCAGCCATATCATAGCACAGGATACGTTTCTCATACAAAAAACATGACATGACGTGGTATCTCATGTTCGGTATGTTGGATATTGGATGTCGCACAAACCGAGACGTTCCGGAGAATTTGGACTGGACAAAGGAGCAAAGCCTTTCGCCATGGCACACGTTGGGGCAAGGCGTCTGCGCCCAGGTGTCAACCAGCGCGGCGTCAGCCGCAAGCTCGTGCGGAGCCACCACCTGAGCCTTGCGAGTGGCCCGGAAACCTCTGCGTCTGGCTGATCCTGAAAACTCAGCCCAAGTAAAACTCAAATCCAACGAGTTTGTTTCGCCTCTTGCTTTCTGCTCAGCAACGCCAGTCACCACATCTATATCTCTTGAAGGTGGTTGGTCTTGGCTTCCGCTAACCTCCTGCTGTCACAATGGTGAAACCATCCATCCATCCATCCGCCCATCCCTCCCTCCCTCGTCCATCTGTCCAATCCGAAACTCCCACCCATGTCTGAGCAATACGGAGGAAGCCAAGAAGCACAAAATGAAGACATACATTTCCCCCGGAATCGCAGCATGCAAAGCGATGTTTGCATATTCTCCACCATCCCTCCGAATCAAGCTAAAGGCTAGCTCAGTTCAGCACATGAGTCACAATCAAAACCCGGTACTAAAATGCTCTACCCAGAACCATGTAAGGAATTAAGAAGGCGGCCGCAGCTATTTAGGGTTGGGATCGTCCTTTACTAAGCTTCATCTACCCGGGTTTTGATTGTGGCTCACATGCAGCGTACATCGCCGCAGGTGCGACACGGCTATCTCCTTTCGCCTTTTCGCCTGCGTCCCTTGCCCAGGTGCCTCATGTCGCGCTGAACTTCTCGGCGCATCGCCTGCACTCGAGCGGTCGGACTGTCAGAGCTCAGGGCTTGGCAGGCCGTGACTGGGGATCTATCGGGGATTCGGGGATCCGATCCGCGCGATCTTTCCGGAGCAACTTTCCGGAGAGCTCCGTGAGTCTGGTGGCACCTGAGAGGCACTGGGAGCTACCTCCCGCGCCTGGGCTATCAGCAGACATGAGCCGCGTCAGCCCATTGCTAGAAACAAAAGCTTGATGCTTTTCCACACGGCCAATGGCAGTTGAGGAATGCAGGGGAAGCGTGCTAAGGCTTGATGTGATTCTGGCAATTTCCGCAATCTAGGAATCTGGTTGGGTGTCTACCTATGGGTGGTGTTTCTTTCTGGCTAACAGCAAGCTCCAAACCAACCTCTGGGCATGTCTTTGCTGTCTGAGTTTGATGTGCCAGCTCAGCAACTTGATCCAGTATGGCCCGCATAGCCAGGCCAACATGTTGGCTTCGTTGTGATGTGCCGTGGCTCCATCTGGCAAGTCTGGGCACCCTGGGACCCTCATAAGCGTGCCTTGCGACTACGAACTCGGATTCAGGCAAGCCCCACACTGCGTCGCCGGCACCCTGGCGATATCTGGCCATGACAAAGCTCAAATGGTCTTGTTTTGCTTTTCAGTTCAAAATCCGCCGAGGCGCCAGTAAGAACAAAAAAAGCTCACACGTTGCTTCTCGAAATACTCTGTGGCATATTTACTGGTTTATGTGTTTGTCGCCATTCTCATAAATCTAAAGCTCAGTGGTGGGACGCGCGCTTGGAATCACCACTCATAGGTTCAATTCAATGCCAGCCTACGCTGCTATGTTGTGCTTGGTTGGCTTGGGGCCAGTCATCGCCATTCTGGCGCCCAGGAGCTACGGGTTGGCGAGCTGGTGCACTTTCACTTTCTTAAAGGATGCAAAAAAAGAGCCCGAAAAGACTTGTTTTTACGACCTCAGACAGGGCAAACAAATTGGCTCGCACGGTGTGGGCCGAGAACCCGGCGCAAAACAACTTGCTTGAGCCAAAAAGGAACAATATTTATTTTCCATTTTGTTGGTTTGCCTCTGGGCCCCCCTTTCGATCGGTTTATTGAGGCGCACTGGGGCACAATACGCAAAAAGAGTTGTTTGCCCCGAACAAACTGCCTCGCGCATTGTCGGGTTCATTGTTTCCCCCAGAACCCGGCGCCGGGCAAAAAACATTGCTTTGCAGATCAGAGCTTCCGCGCACTGAACCAATCCTCCGCGAAATCCCACTTTGGCACCCAAGACTAAGCTTCTTCATAGGATATTTGATCGCCGCTCAGGGTGTTTTGGGGGCGGGTGCTTGGCTCGAGGGCAGCCATTGCCAGCATCAGTCTGCACCAGCATCAAACACTTGGCTGTATTCAAAAAAGCTCTCCATTGGCAGCATGGCCAGCATCGCCAGTCTGCATCGCCAGCATCACGTCGTGCTCACATTGCTGCTGTTTTGGGTGTGTAAGGCTAAGGCGGACGTGCGCTAGCATTTACGTGAGTTTCTGGCCTTGACATATCGGGTGATTGTTGAGCCAAGCCCCTCCACTTGGCAGCATTTCAGCCCGCTGATTCGCAGAATCTCAGAGACTGACATGGCCTCTGAGAACCCAAAAAAACAATCATGAGACGAGGCTCGCCGAATTGCACAACTCTGTTCAGTGGCCAGAGTTTGAGGCTCCAATTCGAACACGAAGTCGGAGCTTTCTCCTCGCAGAGCTCCGTGTAGAGCTGGCGCAGCACGGGATCACTCTCGCTGGACGCCAAGGTGTCCACCGCCGGGAACCTCATACGGTTTTGAACGAAGGCCAAACGGGAACCACCATTTTGAGGGCGCTTTCTTGTGAGACGGTCTGTGGTGAACCCATCAATCTCGTGTAAGCGCAAAACAGGCGGAACGGGAGACTTACATTACATACATACATACATTCATTCTTACATACATACATTACATTACATTACATTACATTCCATTCCATTTACATTACATTACATTACATTACATTACATTACATTACATTACATTACATTACATTACATTACATTACATTACATTACATTACATTACATTACATTACATTACATTACATTACATTACATTACATTACATTACATTACATTACATTACATTACATTACATTACATTACATTACATTACATTACATTACATTACATACCATACATACATACATACATACATACATACATACATACATACATACATACATACATACATACATACACACATATATATACATGCATACATACATACGAGAGAGGGAGATTGGGGAGAGAGAGGCTTGGGGGGATGGGGAGGATGGGGAGCAGAGGGAGGGGAGAGGACGACTGAACACACAAGGGAGACAAGGGAGAGAGGAAGAAGGAGAAAAGGGAGAGGACAATGTCGGCGGACTGAGCCGGAGGCTCTAAAGTATGCTTGCAGCCAGAAACTTGGGCGACCGTTCCTTGCCCTAATCAACCGACAAGGCGGGGTTGCTGTAGCATTAAAATGCTTTTTAAAGCTACATGTGGCCGCAAGAATCAAATGATTCAACCAAGAGAATCTTGGACACGCAGAATGTGGCAGTGTGCTTAGTCTGCAAAACCTGTGTTGAGCTGTGCACACTGCAAGAGCAAACAACAAAATCTGCACAGGTTATGACTCTGGTGGCTGAAAGGTGCTGGGCGCCCGTGCTCCAGAGCGATGGATTCCAAGGATTGTACCTACCATCTTGATATATCTTGATATATCTTGATCTCTTCAGCTTCTATGCTCAGAAAGTTTCGGTGATCCAACTCAGCCGACCCAGTCACCTTACAGTGGACATTGCCGCTCCCGCGGTCCTGCAAAACTCAAAATTCAACCAAGCTCCTTGTGGCTTGCGGCCACTGACAATGGTTGTCCAAACCTAAGGGAAAGAGACAAATGGAGAGAAAAAAAGAAATGGAGGTCGTCTAATGGCCGTAAGGCGATCGGATCGTCACGGCCGGCGCGCCAGCAGCGTGGGCCGCTGGATGGCCCGCAGCGTGGCGATGGACTTGGAGGCGTCCGAGGTCCAGGTGACGATCAGCTGCGCAACCTCCAAGCGGAGAGTCGAAATGGAAAAAACACAAGAATCAATCCATATGTGTATATATGTATATATATATATATATATGTGTATACATATATGTATTTCTATATATAATTGTATATATATATATATACATATATATATATATACATATATATATATATATACATATATATATATATATGCATATGTCAAACTATATATTTGCCTGTGTATGCAATATGGGTGCGTGTCTGACGTTTCCTGCAAGTGGGAGGCAGGGACAACCTCCAAACGGTTAGTCGCCCAGCGCCCAATACGCGGGTTACGCGGTTGTCCCTTACCTGGATACCTGGGATGACAGCCAGCTCGCCTCACTGGCAGTTTCGGAGCCATCGAGGCTGAAGTCCGAGTCTGTGACGTCCACGTCAGTGCCTCGATACTTCGAACATTTTACATGGCAGTGCCAACAGGCCCCCCCACAAGCCCCCCCCGCCCAAACCCGATATTTTATTGGTCATTGGCTGTGCATCTGACTCTGGGCTCGCTGCAAGCTTCAGCCGTGCCCCCCTCAGGAGATTGGACTCTGACCTGGCTGCTTCAAATTGTTACTTGCCCGGATGCACGGTCCCACCTCCAGCACGTAGTTGCCTTTCATCAAAGGCAGTGTTGCCTGGGCAAAGGTCAGTGCGAGGCTCCCTTGGCACTCTGGACTTCCGAGCCTCTGGATCCAAACTCCGTTCCCGAAGATCCTGCAAAGGGGCATCCACTTTCACATTGCGCTCTCGAATCTCCGCTTTCCAAAGTGTGAAGGGTATTGAAAGGGCCAGAAGCACAACGATCCATGCAGGTCTACACGCCAACACGGGGAATTCCAAGCGGCCAGCCTGCCAGTTCTCAGTGGCCCAGTCGCATGGACAGCCGACTGGCGAACATCAGGCGATCGCGATGTAAGGCAAGGACGCGTCTAATCAAATCACACAGAAAGCATCAAACGCATCGCAGCTTGTTCACCTGCTCGACGATAACGATTGAAAAAACCCGAAGCTTGTGCGCAAGTTGTCTAAGGCCGAGCTTGCCGACCGGCATCCGCCTGCCTGTGGCATTGCTGATGTTTATGTTCAAGTCCATGCGCCGGGGTGCCAGCCGGAAGGAGTACACGCAGCCTGCAACTTGGCATGCTCAAAGCTGCGCCGGTCAATCGTCACGCTCATTGCGGAGGGCCTCCGAACTGCTTCTACAACCTCATTTAATCAAATTTGCGGAGGGCCTCATTTACCATCCCATTTACCATCCCCCTTGGCTTTCTCGCAAGCTGTCTCACCGTCTGCAATTCAGCTTTCTTCCAAGCCATCAGCTTCTCCCTCGAACTGTTCGTGAGGCATGCTGGGCATTCTCTGCGCCTGCGCACAGCGCCCTGGCCCGAAGCTTGAAAAGCGTCCGCGTGGCAAACCCCGCGGCCGGGTCCACGAAGAGCCGCGCCAAGGGCCTCGCTGACTCGAACGCCAAGCCGCCAAGCCCCAAGCCCATGCCCTGGCCGCCGTCACAAGCGGCGGAACTCGAGCATGAAGCATCCAGATGTACTGAAAAGCATTGAGGCGCACGCGGCTGGACGCGAGTGACGGGTGCGCTGTAGTACGCCCACACCTTCCGTGTCTTGTCATTCAAAGCCAAAGAGCATCGAACAGCCACGCCAGGCGATGAACACCTCACTAAGCCTCGCTCCTGGGTTGGAACTTCCAATGTGGCTGGCACAGCAGCAGTGATACCTTGGCAGAGAGAAGGAGAGAATAGAATTGAGCAGAAGGACATCGTCCCTCTGAGCAAGGAGACGCAGCAAGCAAAAGGAAATGTTGGGACAACAATGTGTATGCATATATCCTGGACCCTCAAACAGCAAAGATTTATTTGCAGTTGTATCTTTCGACTGCATTTGACGTGTTTTCCTATTGAACAACAAAAAACGCTTAGGATAGCATGGTTTGCTCGCAATGGGTAGGCTGTTGGTGCTTGAAAGGAATGCCTCCTGCGTGTTACTGCTTCCAGGCTTTGTGAGGGGCCCGCCAGCGCATGCTTGATTTTGCCCGCAAAACGCAAAATAAAAACCAAGAAAAAAACAACAACAACAACCCGCAAACGCCCGCAATCCCGAAAAACTTGTATTTGTGTGTTGTTGGGGAGCTATTCTTGTTGGCCCCAAGGCCGGGAAGCCTTCAGTGCCGCTTCGGGACCTTCCAAACCCCATCCCAACCCCTTCCCCGCCCCCTTTTTGTGCTTTGCAGGCCATTGGTGTTTAGGCAATCATTTTGTATCGCGTGTACATACTGGCTCAAGGCCCCATTGCCGTGCACGAGCTGGGCGAGGACTTGAAGGACAAGCCCGCCGGCTACGTCGGGGCGAGAGTGGCCAAGCGGCTGACCATGGACTGCTACGCCCGCGGCGTCTGCCGCGGCGCGGTGGGGTGCGCCAATTTGACCACGCGCCAGGCGGGCAACGACCCCACAGCCTCGCCATAGAAAAAGACCTCGCTGCGCTCGCTCTCAGCACTGAGACGTACAGTGTACTGATCAGGGATTTCCACCGTCATCAAATTCTCGTTGAGAAACAGATCCAGGGCGATGAGAGACTGCTATCATGCGTGCTGGGCTTGGAGGCGGGCAACGCGAAGCGTTCACAATTATTTTTTGAAGTCGAGGGCCAAGGTGTGTGTATATATATATATATATCCGCCGGCAACAGGCGGCGTGTTGGACATAAGAAATGCTCCTTACCTCTTTACCTGTTACCCCTCCCCTTACCCCTCCCCAGGGGCACGGTTTCAGACTGTTGCGGGGGGGGGGGTCCACGTACCACGCGGTGAGAAGATCTTGGGGAGGAAAAGGGAGAAGATCTCAGGGGGAAAGGCCTTAGGGGGGGAAACGAGGGAAAGGACCTCAACCGGGAAAGGATCTTAGGGGGACAAGGGAGAAGATCTCAGGGCGGGAACATCTCACTAGGGAAAGGTGGGAAAAGAAATTAGGGAGGAGGGGGGAAAAGGCCTTAGGGGGGAAAGGGGGGAAAGGATCTCAACAGGGAAAGGGGGGAAAACATCTTAGGGAGAAGATCTCAGGGGGGGAAAAGGCCTTAGGGGGGAAAGGGGGAAAGGATCTCAACAGGGAAGGGGGGCAAAGATCTTTGAGCCGGAGGCGTTAAAATCCGGCTACGCCTCCTTGGGGTAGCATGTCGCCGCTAGGCAATTAGCCTGCTAGCTTTAGCTATAGGGGCTGCACCCTGGTGCCGCCGACCCTCCACTTGGTCGTGACACGCGGCCTAAATCCGGCACCTCTGGGAGAGGGAGAGGGAGAGGGAGAGGGGTAGAGGGAGAGGGAGAGGGAGAGGGAGAGGGAGAGGGAGAGGGAGGGAGATTGAGGAGAGACAGGCTTGGGTGGATGGGGAGGATGGGGAGCAGAGGGAGGGAGAGAGGACGACAGAACACACGATAAAGACAAGGGAGCGAAGAAGAAGGAGAATTGGGAGAGGACAATGTCGGCGGACTGAGCCGGAGGCTCTAAAGTACATATATATATATATAGATAGCTTGCGCACACATGTTGTGCCTCTATAATATTTTACTATATATGTATATATATATAAATAAATATGTAGATACATGTGTAGATGCATGTATGTGTGTGTGTGCAGCTGTGTATGGTATGCATGTAAGCATGGGTCATCGTCAAACCCCAATATCATCCTCACCACTAGCTGAGACCCTTGGCCAGCGGTGTGTTGTACCATGGCCTGGCGCAAGGGATTACAATCTCATTCAGGTTTGCAGGTGCCGAAGCTGTTTCTTGGTTGTTTGGCGCCAGGCTGCGCCATCTCACGCCGCGCGCAAGTGCACGTACACATGTCACCCCAAAATGATCGACGATTTGCAACACCAAGCGCAAAAACTGAAGCTAACTCATCCTCCTGGCTGAAACCTTATAAAGCTTGAGCGCAACTCAACACGTCTTACCTGACATCTGCTGGCTGTTGCTGACTGTTGATGTCGACAATAATGCAGCTCGCGTCGTTGCTGTTGTTGATGGATGGTGGTTTGGTTTGGCTTGGCGTGGCTTTGTTTGATTTTGTGTACACGCTTGCTTTGCGACGCTTGCTTGTTTGCTTGCTTGCTTGTTTGCTATTCGGTTGGTTGATGTTGTTTGCTTGTTTACTTGTTTGCGTGATTGCTTGTTTGCTATTTCGTTGGTTGATGTTGTTTGCTTGTTTGCTTGGCTCCTTCTTGCTTTCGTTCTCTCCGTCTGTCTGTCTCTCGCTCGCTCTTTCTCCGTCTCCTTTCCCAATCACTCCCCCTCTCTCTCTCTCCCTCTCTCTCTCCCTCCCTCCCTCTCTCCCTCTCTCTCTCTCTCTCTCTCTCTCTCTCTCTCTCTCTCTCTCTCTCTCTCTCTCTCTCTCTCTCTCTCTCTCTCTCTCTCTCTCTCTCTCTTCCTTCCTCTCTTGTTGATGATGCTGCTGCCGTGGCTGTGGATGGCTGCATTGGCATAGTTGGGTCACTGTTGCCGAATGCGCTGGGATGGCTTGACCCTGCTCCTGCCTGTCGTGCCTCGGAGCCTTCAGCTAGTAGCAGCTGAAAGGTGTGAGACCTCAATCAGAGTGCCCACGCCCGTCAAGGAGGCAAACGCTGGGCTTCCGACAAGCCAAGAGCCAGCGATGAGAGAGGAACCGTGGCCTCTCCAAATTCAAGCCCAGCAAACCCACACGACAGGTAACGACGGGCCGAAGTCAAAGTCAAACCCAGCCCCAAGTTGGGCAATGATCCTTTTCGTCCGACGACACAGTGCCAGTGATCGATGAGACACCAGTGAGAGCTTGACTCTCCTGATATCGAGGCAAAGCAGAAGAAGGCCAGTCGCCCGGCCGGTTTCTCAGATAGAGGACACGAAGTGGTGCAGGCGGCTCTTCAAGGACTGGGCACGGGCTCCAGCGACACATCTACCCGTGGGCTGAGAGGGGCTGTGCCGAAAAATCTGTGAGACTGACTAAAAGCTTTGGTGGGGAGCCAAAGGTGCAACAGGTAGCCAAAACACCAGGAATTTTAGGGGCCATGCGACTGAGTCTTCAATTAATCTTGACTTTTGGCCTCCTTCTTCGAAATGTCAAACATGGTCGTTGGGCCTTTTGCTTGACCCAAAGGGAGTCCTCTCATTGTGTCAATCCCATACCACAAGGAACCAAACCACAAACCAAGCAAACGGAAGCAACCCAACCATCGACATCTTGGCCACGCCTGCGAGGAAGTCCTGGCGGAAGGGCGCGGCATGTTCACCGCCGTGCGCTCGCGTCGCACCGCGGCTTTGCCTCGCGCGCGGATGCTGACCCAAAGCCCCTCAAGCCAAGGAATATCCCCATGAAGTGCCAGGCACAAAGCTTACTAAGTTCATAGGTATGCATATTACGAGCAGCTGGCCAAATCACACGCTGAAATTACGCAACGCGCTTCATCTCTTTTTGGCCTCAGTTGGCTCGTTTCACAACAAATTAAATGCTCTTAGCTAGTGGCCTTGCACGTGCTTGGGAGGCACATGTCCAGAAGCCCAAAACGGGGCAAGTTCCGAAGTGGAAGCCTCACGCCCGCCTGCGCCTTGCTGCATGAATCGGGAAGGCTTCAGCATGGTGTCAAAGTCCGGCAGTTCCGGCTCCTCCACGTCCAGCACCTCGCCCCCCGGTTCCAGGCCACACACCTTGATAACCTTACCTCTACGTTACAGGCTTGTGGGGAAAAAGGATGCGACCAAAGTGGAATAGCTTCGCGGTCCCAAGAAAATGTCATGCAAGCAGCCGGTTCCAAATTGATGCCCTTCTGCTCGAAGCCTAGCTGAATGTCCTGGAAATTCCTTGGCTATGAAGCGCGCCAAGAGCATCAATATGTGGCACCTGGAAGTGCCCAGAGTTTGACACCCAATCCCTGACCGATCCCTGACCGAGCAGCTGCGTCATGAGCATCATGTTGCGGTGCTGCCTCTGCAAGTGGCAAAGCAGGCCATCCTGTACCTAAGTCAAACAATGCGTCTGTAAAACGCAGGCGATCTTGCGCAATACATGTTTTGGAATCGCGCGCCCAAGGGACAAACACGTTCACTTTCCTTCCAACCAGGCCCAAACAAACACGAACGACAGCAGTTCTTCCAAAACTTGTGCGCGGACATGCTACTGACACGCCGAAACATGCTGTCCGGGCAAAACCGTAGGACTCCAAACACTGATTCAAACGATCGCTGCCCCTGATGTTGTTTTTGTTGCTGCTGCTGATGTTGCTGCTGCTGCTGTTGCTTCTGCTGCTGCTGCCGTTGTTACTCTTGTTGCTGCTGTTGCTGCTGCTGCTGCTGCTCCTATTGCTGCTGTTGCTGTTGCTGTTGTTGCGGGTGCTGTTGCTGCTGTTGCTGCTGTTCCTGCTGTTGCTGTTGCTGTTGTTGCGGGTGCTGTTGCTGCTGTTGCTGCTGTTCCTGCTGTTGCTGTTGCTGTTGTTGTTGCTGTTGCTGTTGCTGCTGTTGCTGTTGCAGGCGCTGTTGCTGCTGTTCCTGCTGTTGCTGTTGCTGTTTTTGTTGCTGCTGCTGATGTTGCTGCTGCTGCTGTTGCTTCTGCTGCTGCTGCCGTTGTTACTGTTGTTGCTGCTGTTGCTGCTGCTGCTGCTGCTCCTATTGCTGCTGTTGCTGTTGCTGTTGTTGCGGGTGCTGTTGCTGCTGTTGCTGCTGTTCCTGCTGTTGCTGTTGCTGTTGTTGCGGGTGCTGTTGCTGCTGTTGCTGCTGTTCCTGCTGTTGCTGTTGCTGTTGTTGTTGCTGTTGCTGTTGCTGCTGTTGCTGCTGTTGCTGCTGTTGCTGCTGTTATTGTTGTTGCTGCTGTTGCTGTTGCTGTTGCTGCCGTTGCTGTTGCTGCTGTTGCTGTTGCAGGCGCTGTTGCTGCTGTTCCTGCTGTTGCTGTTGCTGTTGTTGTTGTTGCTGTTGCTGTTGATGTTCTTTTTGTTCTTCTTCTTGTTGTTGCTGCGGTTGCTGTTACTGTTTATGATGATGCTCTTGATGTTGATGTCGATCTTAATGCTTTTGCTATTGTTGTCGTTGTCGTTGCAATTGTCATTGTCGTTGTCGTTGTTGTTGTTGCTGTTGCTGTTGTTGCTGTTGTTGCTGTTGCTGCTGTTGTTGCTGTTGCTGCTGTTGTTGCAGTTGCTGTTTCTGTTGCTGTTGCTGTTGTTGTTGTTGGTGGTGTTGCTGTTGCTGCTGCTGTTGTTGTTGTTGTTGTTGTTGTTGTTGTTGTTGTTGTTGTTGTTGTTGTTGTTGTTGTTGTTATTGGTGTTGGTGTTGTTGGTGCTGTTGTTGGTGTTGTACTATGTTGTGTGATGTGTGTAGTATGTTGTATGTTGTTTCCTGTCTGTTGCGTGTTGTACATCGTTGCTGTTGCGTCGCTGTTGCTGTCTGCTATTGACGGTCGTTGTTTGTTGCTGATTGTTGTTGTTGCTGGTTGTTGTTGTTGCTGGGGTTGTTGCTAGCGCCGCGGTTGGTGGCACTGTTGTTGCGTTGTTCTTGTTGCTCTTCTTGTTGTTTTTTCTTGCTCTTGTTCTTGTAGTTGTAGATGGTTGATGGCTCTTGGTTGTAGGTTGTTGGTCGTTGGCTGTTGGTTGCTTGTCGTTTGTTGTTTGTTGTTCATGGGCTGTTGTTTGTCGATTGTTTGTTGCGTGTCGCTTTCTGTTTGGCGTTCTTTGACGTCGATTGTCTTTGCTGTGCGCCTGGTGTTGTTTCGTCGATTGTTTTTGTTGTTTGCTTGTGGTTGTTGTTTGCTGTTTGTCGTTTGTCGCTTGTTGGTTGTGTTTTGCTGGTTTCTTGTTGCTTGGTGTTTTGTTGATTGTGTGCTGTTTGTTGCTGTTGTTCGTTCAGTTTCTGTCGACTGTTTCTTTTTTGTTGTGTGTTGCTTGTTGTTTGCTGTTTGTTGTGTGTTGCTTGCTGCTTGCTACTTGCTCTTTTTTGTTCGCTGGTTGCTGACTGCTGTTTGCTATTTGCTCTTGTTTGTTCGCTGGTTGCTGGTTGCTGATTGGTGTTTGCAATTTGCCATTTGCTTGCTGGGCGTTCTTTTTTGTTTGGTGTTTGCTACGCGGCGCTTGTTGTTTGTTTGTTGGTTGTCCTTGTTGTCTGTTTGTCGCGCGTCCGGGTTGTATGCTGTTTTGCTGTTTGTGTGTGTGTTGCTTTTTGTGTGTGGCTTGTCAAGCGTTGTTTGTATGTTGTTGTTTGGCGGCTTGTTTGTTTGTTGAAAGCTGTTTGTTGCGCGTTGTGTGTTCTGTGTGTTGCGAGTTGCTGTGCGGCGCGTGTGGCGCGCGCTGGTTGATGTGTTTTGTTTGTTGCTTGTTGTCTGCTGCTTGTTGCTTGTTTGTTGTTTGTTGTTTGTTGTTTGTTTTTTGTTGCGTGTTGTGTGTTGTTAGTTGTGTGTTGTTCTCGCTGTTGTTGGTGGTGGTGTTATTGTGGCTATCGCTGCAGTTGCCGTTGATGTTGCTGTTGAAGGCTCGTGTTCTTGCTATTGCTCTTGTTCTTGTTGTTGGTGCGGCTGGTGTTACTGCTGATGGTGATGTGAATGTTGATTGAAGTATTGAAGTTGTTGCTGTTGATGTTGCTGCAACAGTTGTTGTTGGTAAGTTGGTTGTTGGTTGTTGGTGGTTGGTTGTTGGTTGCTGGTTGCTGGTAGCTGCCCGCTGGCCATTGGTTGTTGGTTGTTGCTTGTTGCTGGTTGCTTGTTGGTTGTTGGTTGTTGGGTGGTGGCTGTTGGTTGTTGGTTGTTGAAGCTTGGTGGGTGGTTGGTGGTTGGTGCATGGTGCTTGGTGGTTGGTGGTTGGTGGGTCATTGCTGGTTGGCGGTTGGTGTTGTTGCTGTTGCTGTTGCGGTTGCGGTTGTGGTTGTGGTTGTGGTCGTTGTTGTTGCTGCTGCTGTTGTTTTTGTTTTTGTTTTTGTTCTTGTTTTTGTTGTTGTTGTTCCCTCCGCAGGGAGATAACGCCGCGCTTCTGATAAAACCCTGTTTTCTTGCGTGGGACACAGAACGCACTGGTATTTACAGTGAATCACGGCAGCCTTCTCTCCGCGCTTCTCACACTCTCAAAGTACTGCAAATACCAGCGTTTTCTTGCGTCGGACGCAGAAAGCACTGGTATTTGCGGTCAATCGCGGCAGCCCTCTCTTCGCGCCGCCCACGCGCGCCAAAACTTTTGCGCGCAAGCGCGTGGTCGCAGCACTGCGCACACATCATGTCATCGGCGGTTGTTTTTGTGCCCACAGGTTTCATCTGCTTTTTGGGGGCGATTCGCTGCATGCATGTTGAGAGGGAATCATGCAACTCTTTGATGCAGTTGTTTAGGTCTTTCCACCATGCAGTTGTTTTACAAAATGAATGCGCAAGACACATCACGAATGCCACAGCGCAAAAAGCACATGAAAACACAAAAGCCCTTTCGTGTGTTTTGCTGGAAGGGTGTGCGGAACCCGTTTTTTATTCAAAAACGAGGCTTATGACAACACATGTTTCCGGTAGTGAAAGCACAGAAAACACTGATATTTACCATGGAGAATGGCCCTCACATGCCTCGTCTCATGATGGGCGCGGCGTTATCCCCCTGCGGGCCGTTGTTGTTGTTGTTGTTGTTGTTGTTGTTGTTGCTGTTGCTGTTGCTGTTGCTGTTGCTGTTGCTGTTGCTGTTGT